GGGATGTGTGGCCGTGGTCTTGGCATTGCAGAACCTGACGTTTCGCCAGTAACTGTGACTGGCATCCTCAGAGGTATAAACACAGAAAGATGGAATCAGGGGTCGATTCAGGGGGAAACGCGGGGGATCGCCGTTCCCCCGGGTGAGGTGCGGGGGTGGGGCACATGACGAAGCCCCGCCCCCTGCTTCCGGTCGGGGTAAAATGGCGATTTGACGCACCCTGTAAGTGCTCAGGGTGGACGGGTGTTCCTTACAGCAGTTTGGACTGTATTTTGGTCCAACGTGGCTTCCCCCAGGCAGGGGGAATGACTAGCAGGCATCAAGACCCAAGAGAGAGTTGAGATTGGTGTGATCAAGTCTCGGAGGAGGCTTGTATTACACTTTGATCCCCTCTCCCGAAGCGGGCAAGCACATTCAGGGGGTGTGGCCTTATGACACACTTCCGGTGATGTCAGGGGGTGTGGCATATGCTAATGAGTTCCCCTAGCTCTTTTTTCTACGAAACGACCCCTGGATGGAATAAACACAGAAAGATGGAACCTTGACACAGAGAGTATTCCATCTTTATGTGTTTATACCTCTGAGGATGCCAGTCACAGTTACTGGCGAAACATCAGGTTCTGCAATGCCAAGACCATGGCCACACATCCCGGAAAATCTACAGCAACCATTGAGAGTGTTATGGCTGACAATTCTGAGCTATTAACCTAATAAAGGAATAGTCACCTAGTAACCGTAACATTTCTGGTCTTCTATCATAGACCCTAACTTCCACCAGGTGTGTCTCTTGCGGCCACCTACATAGTGACAGTCCCCTTCAATGTCCTGGAATAGCAGTTTCACAGTACTATCATGGGTTTTTGTTTTCCTCCATGACCACTGGATATCAATGACTCAAGAAAACTTTAACAAAGGGCTGCAGAAGTGCTTATGGATTCCTTTTAGGCTCCTAGCAAGAGCCTGTTGTAGAACTGCACACCTTATTGCAGTGAGATAGCCTGGGGGTGGTATTGTTTTTTTAATGCACGAATCTGAGCAGTCCATGTTGTCATTGCCTTAGCATTCTTCTTCCAAGTGACTCATGAAGACTGGTTCAAAGACTGGTTTAGGGTTTCAAAATAGCCTCACTGTACACAGCACAATTAAGAGACATTTCATTGCCTGGTGTAGCCCAGCCCATGTCAGAAGGCATATATTAAAAGTGGAAACTTCACAGAGGGCTGTGTATATGTCCCGAAATTCTATTAATCCTTAGTTGTTCCTCATTTGTTGACAAGTTGTTCTGCTTGCATTTTAGCTGAGCTACTGTCCCACACTTCCTATTTCCCCAAGTGATATTTAGTTACGGGGCAGTTTTGCAACACTGATTTCCTCGAACATATTGTGTTCCGTTGTACTGAGTCAGACTATTGCTTGGTCAGCATTGTCAGTGATCATTGGCGGTAGCTCTCCAGCAGAGAAAGATCTCTCCCAACATCTGAGCTACTTGGGAGGGACTGAATTTGGAACCTTTTGCAGGCAAAAAAATGCTCAGCCACTGAGCCACAGCCCTTCCATTAAAAAACAACAACACTGTACAGGAGGCAAATCTATATTTGTAGAGTACACAGTGCCCCAAGAGAAAATGTAAGGAAAATCACAGAGGAGCTCAGTTGTATTAACAAGGGTTGCCAGTCCCGTGTCCATGAATCCCAAGGAGTTCTGTGTGATGGAGCCTGGAGAGGGTAAAGTGGACACTGTGACTCTTTAACATTCTAGGCCCACTTTTAACATCACAGCATCACAGCCCTGTGATGTTCTAGAAATGTTCCCTATCTTTTGTGGTAAAGTGTCAGATTCCTGCAACAATCAGAATCAACGACTTGCTTCTTTAGAAGGAAAGTTTATTGACCAGTAATGACAGAATGTCACCACTTCAGGATCTGTGTTAAGACTAAAGTAAAAAGCGTGAGGTAGACAGATATACAGTGTTCAAAGGAGGGCACAGGGTGGCAGAGAGCCAATCAAGGTAAGAAGCAGGGCCCGCCAGAATCTAATGGTCCCTCGTTCCCAGAGGATGATGTTACAGCTAGGAATCAAGGTCAAACATGTTGTAAAATAGTCAAAAGTGTTTAATACTCAGACTATCAATGGATCTTGCTCTATTGGAAAGAAGAGATTTCTTTGCTTTTAAAAACCTTTATTTCTAAGGGTAAAAGGTACACGGGATTACTACAAATAAACATAACACTAACAGCTACGTTTTCTAAGCTGCCTATAGTCAACACTAGCACACAGATAATAGAGAATCTCTCCTCCTTCTAGACCCCTAGAAAGGAAGTCCCCTGAAACAAATGACCAATCTGTATCACAGTAGAAAGCTACTTTTCCCGGGCTAATTCCCCATTGGCTCAGTGCCAGGTATCCCTTCCAGGTCGGTCTAAACAATAGCAATACTAGGCAAACAAGTTAACCCTATAATGACTGAATTGTCAGACCTTGTAAACACATACATTTCCAACAATACACGTAAGCCATACAGATAAGGCAGCATCAGCCAGAAAGTGAAAGTTACATTCCAAGGAATCCCTTCCCCCTTCACACGAGCTGCCATAAAGACCATAGAGATTAGGGGAAACTCCTAGAGCGTTACAGATGCCATGCAGTCACTTCCATGATTACCTGGAAAGTGACATTGCAGCATCCACATTGTCATCCCTTTCCCATTTTTCTCCTTCTGCTGAACTGATAAAACACAGGCCATTGAGGGCAAGAGTTGGAATTCGCCTGCCATGGGCAGGCACACAGTCAGCCTACTACTAACCCACCTCCCCATGAGTGGATTGAGATGTTAAACGCTCTGGACTATTCTGTCCCCAGTGGATCCTGCATTGCTGGCAGTGCCATAGGAGCTGCTCAGTTTCAACCAGGGCCACAATGCCAACATGTAACATGGCTCATGGCTGCCAGTGGATCTCCAGGGCAGTAGCTAGCTGGGAACTTTCACAGTAAGTTAGGGGCTATTTGACCTTGGCTTCCTCCCAGTTCTGCACCTAGTTCTTTAACCTTTCCCACTCTTCTCTTAGCACCAACTATGAATCACAAGACCATGGTGGAGAAATCACCTTTGGGGAGATCAATCACGATTCCTATGAGGGGGACATACACTACCATGCTGTAAAACGCAAGGCCTACTGGGAAATCAAGATGGACAAGTAAGTGAGCAGTCTTATCTGTAGTTCTTGTCATAATGAATGTGCTTGTCTTTTAGATGACATAAGGTTCTTGGCAGCCCATAACTGCTCTTCTAAAAGCAAAGAAAGTGCTTGTTTTGAATGAAACAGGTCTGTCCATTTGGTGGCACAAATTCAGAATTTCCTTGGCAAAAATTATTACCAGTACATTGATATTTGAGAACTGGGACTGCTGGTGGGTGATTACCTATATGCAGGGCTTTTTTTGTAGAAAAAGCCCAGCAGGAACTCATTAGCATGATAGGCCACACCCAACACCAGAAACTCATTAGCATATTAGGCCACACCCCTGTCAGTATGGCTCATTAGCATATTAGGCCACACCCTGTGCTTTCCCTTGTCTTGTCTGGGTGCCCTGCGGCTGTGGGGAGCCCAGGCAAGTCAGCCCTTGGACAGGCCGGGGAAGGCACAGGGAGACATTTAAATGCCTCCCCGATCCTTCCAGGCCCCCCCTGGCCCACCTGCCTCGGAGTCACTGGGGGGGTGTCACTCTCCAGGCCTTCCCTCTGTAGCCAGGCACGCAGAGGTTTTGGCTGTAGTGGGCATGGCCAACTCTAAAGCCAGCCGGAACTCCATTCCTGTGTGTTCCTGCCCAAAAATAGCCCTGCCTATATGTGAGCTTGGTTTGATTTTTACCCCAATAGACAGATGGCAGGGCTTGAATTACAGGGGGTGGCTCCCTGTGTTTCGTGATGCCCCCTTTAGCCAACGGAGGGGCAGGATTTGGCCTCTCTCATTCCATTAAATGTAGATTCAGGTGGGTAGCCGTGTTGGTGTGAAGCAGTAGAACAAAGTTTGAGTCCAGTAGCACCTTTAAGACCAACGAAGTTTAATTCTGGGTATAAGCTTTTGTGTGCATGCCCATGAAAGTTTATACTTCTTGAGATATCTGAAGAACTGTGCATACACATGAAATCATCTTCAAATATCTGAGGAAGTGTACGTGCACACAAAAGCTTATACCCAGAATTAAACTTCGTTGGTCTTAAAGGTGCTACTGGACTCAAACTTTGTTCTGTTCCATTGAAGGGTTTCTCTAAAGGGGGTGGAGCTTGTGGATTTCTAGAAAGAGCCCTTATGGTTCAAGCTCTGATACTCAATATAGACAGGAAGAAACAGGTCCAGAGTTACCTGGCAAAAAGGGTCACCCCGATTACCTGCTGATCAAAGACACAAAGGAGGTCACAGGTCTTTGTTTTGTAAAGCAAAATGTCAGGAATGTGCAGTCCTGATTGGATCAGAGTTATACAGGGAAGGACATGGTTGTTCAACTCTTTATTCCTTGTTTGGCTTCATCTAATTGAAAGCCTTCCATGAATGGTTTTCAGCACTTTCTCTCAACAAAGGATGGGTTCCAAGAGGAACAAACTGAGGTCATTCACATCTGCAACTTACTCTTTTTAGACTAAGCAGTATAATGCCACGCAGTCCAGTTTAGTGTAGTAGTTAAGAGCGCGGACTCTAATCTGGGAGATCCAGGTTTGATTCTCCACTCCTCCACATGCAGCTGTTGGTGTGACCTTGGGTCAGTCACAAGTTCTCTCAGAACTGTTCTCTCAAGAGCAGTCCTTGAACAAGCTCTCTCAGCCCCACCTACCTCACAGGGTGTCTGTTGTGGGGAGGGGAGGGGAGGGGAAGGGAAAGGAGATCGTAAGCCGCTCTGAGACTCCAAGTGAAGGGCAGGGTAAAAATCCAATCTCTTATCTTCTTCTTTCCTTCTCTTTCTCAAAAAGGAGTGGTATAACACAGTCGGCCCAGTGCACTAGAATTACTGCTGAGTCCACTTTATCAATTTTTATTTATTGAACCAGTTTTCCCAAGGTTTTGCTTGCAATGGCCACACCACGATGCTGACTCCCCACCCCACCCCCGTCCAGGGTAGAGGTAGGCTCGGCCGGCCAGAGGGAGAGGAGGATCATGCAAAAGGTATGGCGGGAGGATGTGCAATCTGGATTGGTTGGCGAGCACAGCTCTAGGTCTGTTCTCGGGTTGCCAGCTCTGGGTTGGGAAACACCTGGAGACTTTGGGGGTGGATCCAGGAGAGGGCGGGGTTCGGGGAGGGGAGGGACCCCAGCAGGGTACAATGCCCATAGAGTCCTCCCTCCAAAGCAGCTATTTTCTCCAGGTGAACTGATCTCGGTCACCTGGAGATAGGGTTGCCTGCTCTGGGTTGGGAAATACCTGGAGATTTTGGGAACAGGGGCTGAGGAGGGCGGGATTTGGGGAGAGAGCCCCTTAGGAGGCTATAATGCCATACAGTTCATCCTTCAAAGCAGCCATTTTCTCCCGGGGGACTGGTCTTGGTCATCTGGAGATCAACCGTAATAGTGGGAGATCTCCAGGTGCCACCTGGAAGTTGGCAACTCTAGTCCGCTCGTTGCCTGGCCCGGAGGCTGCTGTGCCTGGGAACCCCTCCACTTGCTACCCTGAGTTCCTGGTGGGAGAAAGGTGGGGTGTAGAATAAAATAAAGCCCCTGATAAAATCTTACCAACACTTGTTACCTTGTCCTCCTTATAACAGTCTTGTGAGGTAGGCTGAAGGGCCGAGGAGGTGAAAGAAGGGCTCGCTTCCAGCCTCCTAAAGAGCTCTCAACAGAGGCAAGAGTCGGAGTCAGAAGCCTCACCCATCACAAGCTTGTTCTGTTGATTGGTGTGGTGCAGGAGTTAGGATGCTGGACTAGGGTCTGGGCAGCCTGGATTCAGATCCCCAGCTGTTCCATGGTAGTTTGGCCCCGTCTCTCTTTCAGCTGAATGGCCTCAAAGGGCTGGCAAAATGGAGACGGGAAGGCCAGTGTCAGGAGCTGCTTTGGGTCTCCGCTGGCGCTGGGGAGGAAAGGAGAGAATGAATGAATGAATGAACCTTTACGCAACACCAGCACCCTTTCTCCATGTGTGACCTGAATCACTTACTTGAGAGAATAATTCCCGTTTGAAAATAAATATTTTCCTTTCTATGGTATGGAGCTTGTGATGGGGGAGGGGGGGAATATTTTGCTGGCAACCTTCTCCCACTGCAGACACCTACATGGTACCTAGTTGCATTTCTGAAGGGCCCCCCCGGCCCATGCAGGCAGTATTTCGGGGGAAATCGTAGGCAGTGTGTAGGAAAGTTGCATTCCACAAATTTTGTCTGGTTTGTCTGTGGCTGTGACCTGTGAGGTGTTAACCACCTCGGCATCTCAGGTGTGTAAAGGAATCTTCAGCAAGAAATTCAGTGTGCAGCAGCAGGGGTCATGATCCTGGGAAGCTGAATTATAGAATCACATAAAGGCCATCTAGTCCAATCCCCTACTCAATGCAGGATCAGCCCCTAGAGCAGTGATGGCGAACCTTTTAGAGACCGAGTGCCCAAACTGCGACCCAAAACCCACTTATTTATCGCAAAGTGCCAACACGGCAATTTAACCTGAATACTGAGGTTTTACTTTAGAAAAAACAACTCATACATTAACTTAAAATAATCCAAACAAAGTAAGGAAAGCAATCCCAAATGCTTTCATTTACTTAAAATTATTTGGCAGAGAATTCGACACTTTAATGATCGTCTGGGCCTGGCTGGGGCAATGGCACGCGTGCCCATAAAGAGGGCTCTGAGTGCCACCTCTGGCACCCGTGCCATAGGTTCGACACCACTGCCCTAGAGTATCCCTGACAAGTGTTTGTCCAGCCACTGCTTAAAGACTGCCAGTGATAAACCTTTGACCTAGCTCTGATAAACAGTGGACAAAGTGGTTAACCGATGTCTGGAATGTAGGGTTGCCACCTCTGGGCTGGAAATACTTGGGAGATTTTGGGGAGAGGAGGGACTTCAATGGGGTATAATACCATAGACTCCGTCTTCCAGAACAGCCATTTTCTGCAGGGGAAGTGATCTCTGTCACCTGGAGATCACTTGTAATCCCAGGAGCTCTCCGGCCATCCCCTGGAAGTTATAAAAAATAGCAAAACTTCAAAAAATAACTGTGTGCTAAATTTCCTGCAAGATATTCACAAAGGAGACTTCATTAAAAGTGAAATGCATCTATTGTCTGAAATAAATCTGTCCATACAATCCGTCATAGGAAAATGCAGAAGCCAAAGAATTAATATACAAGATAAATATACAAAAAAGTCCAACACTTTTCCTAGGTAATTCTTCCAGTGTTTCAGACCTCTGGTCCTTCCTCAGGAACAAAGAACTGTAAAAAATACAAAATGCAATAATATAACAAACACTTATTTCAACAATATTTCATAAGGAGTAATGAAAGTATTACCAATAAACCCTTTTACATGATCAACATCATTACATTGTTATCACTGCTACATAGGCCCCGGTCATACGGGCCAGATAACGCGGTGGGGGGGAGGCGTGGCTGTTCGCCCCGGAGCAAAATAAAGCACGGTAGCCCGATCACACGGTCCCCCGAGTCTCCATGCTTTGGCTGTTAGTTGGCAATCACACGGCGATGCTGCAACGTGGCAAAGAAGCGGAGCGGCGCAATCACACAAGCGTTTTGCGTTTGTGCGCATGCGCAGTTCCGTGGAACAGCACTGCTTTCAGTCTTGTGTTTGTGCACATGCGCTTATGAAAAACATCTGGTTTGCGATGGGGCGTGGACGGGCACTGGATGCCACGGGATACTAGCACTCCCGCGATCAGGCGCCCACCTGTGCTACGCGTTTTCCGGATACTAGTGCACTTTCCTTGGTTCTTTTTCACTCCGCATGTTCGGCAGGACGCCACGGGTTGGCCACGGGTGTGCTATGCTTCTCAGATGTTGCGGTGTGATCGCGCCCCGAAAATCCGCGCGACATTCATGCCTTTTGTGCAGCAAATTCTCCGTGTGACTGGGGCCATAGAGTCTCAAAATTAGAGTCACACTGGATCTTACCAACTGCTGAGAGTCTCATTCCATCTCCTTATAAGATAATGATTTTCTATTATTCTGTAAAAAAGAATTCCTCCTTAATATTTTTCCTTAAAATTTACACAATGTATGGACCGCAAAACAAGTATAACATATACTCACTCTATATTGGGCAAGGTCTCCTTAGCTCTAACCAGTACCCCTAAAGGCTGCTTCAATGTATCAGGGTCAAAGCATGCCTCAGAGTATCCAGCCTACTGAGTCTATTTCATGGATCTAAATTGAATACAGCTGGTTGTTCCTTGCTGGCATTTAAAGTTGTAGAAGCCCTTACTGTGTTTGAAACAAAATAATTAAAGTTGCCAACTCCAGGTTTAAAAATTCCTGGAGATGCCCAGCCTAATGAGTCTGTTGGCTACAGCTAAACGACCTTTACAAACGTCTAAACTGCTGTAGTATTTGAGAGTTGCCAACTCCTGACTACTGTATTCCTGGAGATTTGAAAAACTGAATATATTACAAATGTATTAGCCTACTGGGTCTATTACATAGGTCTAAATTGGCTACAGCTACATATCCCTTACAAGCATCTATAATACTATAGTATTGAAAGTTGCCAACTCCTGGTTACAATGATCCTGGAGATTTGAGAACTTGAATGAATGATAAAATAGTCTAAATTTTTGAATCACAAAAAACATAAATCCAGTTTAGAATTTAATCCTTTTGGTTGGAGAGTCTCAATGGAATATATACGATATGGCTCTCATTGTAAAAGTGCTTTCTGGATATCTATTCTACCAATGTCCTCTCCAGTACTGTATATTTGAAATCACCATATTTGTGATTTTTTTCAATGAAATGTTGAACTAAAAACGTATTGCCATTCTTCAATTTAAATCTAGATTTACGTTCCAAAATTCTGGAACATATTGGCTGGGTCGTAATTCCTGTGTAAATGAAAGAACATTGGCAGATTAAAACATACACCATTTTTTTTTTATGCACAGGTGCTTTGATGGTGCAGTACCTTATTATAATTATACAAAGGGAATCCTGCCTTGTTAGTTTGCCAGGTTAAATTACAGACAGAGCAATGTCCACATCTGGAGTGACCCCTACTGGGCTTTGTTATTCCTCGTAATGTATTGCTGTGTGCTGCACTTTTGTTGTTGTATGTTCCAATGACCACCTGGAAGTGGCCAGTCCTACTGCAATGTAGCATTTGAAATGGAGGTGGGGAGGCACCTAATGAGACATTTGCTCCCCAAAATATTTCTAGCCCATTAGGGCAGAAGGCTCAGCCAGTCCTCTTGGCATCCAGGACATTAAATTACGTGTGTTGCCGCCTCTCTTCTGCAGTGGTACAACCTGGTGGAACGAAATTCACGGTTTGTAAGAACTTCACTGTGGCCTGGGAGGAGCTGGCCAACAGCTATGTGTGTGGATTCAGTGGTGGAGGCCTCATTTTGGCTCCTGGTTTTGTGGTCAGGGAAGCAACCATTCTCCCCCTGCCAAAACGCCCTGTGTAATCACCGTTCTCTCTCCCCATCTCTCCTTGTAGGGTGACGGTGGATACACATACAAAGGAGAAATGCTGGCCGTGGAAAATGTTTGATAAGAGTTCAGGGAAAATATGCAAAGATGGCTGCAATGCAATTGTGGACACGGGAACTTCTCTCATCACAGGGCCCAGCGAAGAGATCCGTGCGTTGCACGAGGCTCTCGGGGCTGAACATGCCTTTGGAGGGCAGGTAAGAGAACAAATGCCTGGATCTCGTAATGATAAGTGCAAAAAACCCCAAAGAAACCCACACACCTTTGCGTTTCAGTTCGAGCTGATCCACACCTCGATTCTGAACTCATTTGCCTGTCTCTGCCTCTCTCTCTTTCCTGTTTATACCAGTATGATATTCTTCTGACTGTCACTGTCCAGCGTGACCAAGAAGTGGATGCAAACTTTGCAGATGGGGTGCACTAGAATTCTAACAAGAAGAGATACTCAGAGGTCCATGATCACCTGCCCTAATTTGGATTGAGGCCACAGCAAGTGGTACAAAGAGTGTAGCCCTCCTCCAGAATACTATAAACTGCTAGGAACTTGAGAAGGCCGATGCCTCCTCCGTCTCACCTCCACTCCACTGTTTTCCTTCCTCCACCCCTTAAACGTGACACTCAACTGCCTTCCCTCAGCGGTTCATACCTCCTGAAGGGCAATGAATGTGCTCATTGTTGGCTGAGCAGTTTCAGGAGATTTTTCATTCTTGGTTTGGTAATTTGCACGGTCATCTGCAAAGTTCTGCATGCATGGGGAGTCCTCTGAATATGTAGGATCCCTGCCTGCCCTACTAATACAGGGCCATCGAATTAGCTTTGAGAAGTAGTGATGACACATTTCCCTCCTTTTAGGAGATGAGAAGTTCCTGAAGAACTGCTACAGAGTTTACTGTGCAATCCTAAACTGAGTTCACTATTGTAAAACCAATGATTTCATTGAATTAGGGCCGTGGTGGTTCAGAGATTAAGACGCTGAGCCGCAGACCGGAGCTTCAGCAGTTTGAGAACCTAGTGTTGCATGACGGAGTGAGCTCCCATCTCTGGCCCCAGCTCCTGCCAGCCTAGGACCATGTAGCACGTGTTGTGAAAGATCTCTGCCTGAGACCCCGGGAAAATACTGCCAGTCTGAGTAGATAATACCAACTTTGTGGTTCCCATTGAGTCTTATGGAACAAAGTAAATGGGCTGTAATCTGGGACTGCATTCAGTTGACACTGGGCATGCATCTGGTTTGTTCATGTGGCATGCCTCTCTCTCCTGCCTCCTCTCTGCTCCTTATTGCATTGTGGAGTGCCCATTGTGGAGTGCAGTGAAAGAAGTCTGGTGTAAAACAAGTTACCGTTATGCCTGACCAGACCTATGCATGCAGGCATGTAGGGTAAACTGGAGTTTTTCCCCCTGTCAATCCAGGACTCTCATCCACAGTTTAATCCAGGTTTAGAATCCCAATTGCAGCAAGAAGAGAACTATTTCTGATTAACCCAAAGTAACCAGAGTTTGTTTTAAACCACAATTCCTTCATTGTGCTGACAGAAGGGAAAGGGAGGAAGAAGATGTGCACATCATCCTGACAATGAACTGAGTTTGTCCGCAGTGTCAGCTTAATGTCAGTTTAATGCATCAGCCAAGGCTGCAAGAAGCAAAACTGGCCTCTCACCATAGATTCTGAGATACTGAGGGGATATTTTGCCCCTCCCCCTTTTATTTGTTGCATTCTTGGTTGAGAGTTGCCTTGGAAAAGGGTGTCTCTGTGTCTTGGTCTCCTCTTCTTCCCTGTAATGTCAAGTGAAATTCATCACACTGAGAGTTTGCTGTATGGTAATATTGTACCATATGTGGAATTGTTCTCTCTTTCACCTGACTTATGGTGACCCCTGGTGTTCAGAGATGTTCAGAGGTGGTTTGCCATTGCCTCCTTCTGCATCACGACCCTGATATTCCTTGGTGGTCTCCCATCCAAATACAAGCCAGGGCCAACCCTGCTTAGCTTCCGATGAGATTAGCTTCTGATGAGATTGGTCTGGGACGTAGGTAGGTAGGTAGATAGATATCTCACAAGGAAGATGAGGAGAACAAGAGGGATACCATTTTCAGTGGCAACTCTGTATTTGCAGCAGATCTGCAACACCCAGTTCGTCTGATCTCTTGGAAGTTGTGGTGAGAACATGTAGTGAATGTCTTAGAAGAAGTACAGGTGGCAGAGGGGTGATCGTCTGGCCTCTCTTTCCCCACCCGAGTTATAATTTCTTTTTTCTTCCCACAGTACTTGATAGATTGTGAAAAGATGTCAACGTTACCCAATGTGACTTTCTACCTCAGTGGCAAGCCCTACACCCTGACCCCAGATGTATACACCCTCAAGGTAAGAGAACCACAGCAAAGGCCTGTGAGGTGTGGGTGATGGCTGTAGCAAGTGTACAAACCAGCATATTTTTGGTCACACATCATTCCACTTGTCACTGATAGGATGCTTAGATCAGTTTGGACTCAAAGTGTAACTGGCATGGATTGGAAGGGGCCTATTTTGCTGTCTCCATTTTTTTCTGAGCCGAAGAATGGGGGAAGCTTTGCTGGGTGGGTTTCCTTATTTATTTTTTTAATCCCACCCTTCTACATGGAGGTCAGGTGATGCACACGTCTGCCACCACCACCACTCAATTTTATCATCACAGTAACCCGATACGTGACATTGTATTATTATTTTATTTTGTACTTAAGGCACACACAAGTTTCCCCCTGTGGGGCAAATAATGGGTCCCTGGCTGTTGCAGATTGGGGAAAACTGGGGAAGGCTTAAGCCCCTTCGCCCCATGCACTGTAGTCCTCATCTGAATCTGCTCCAACACATTTGAGAATCCAGGCTTTGACCAAAAACTCCCTGCACACTATGCTTGACGTGACCTGGGGATGGACCCAGGAGCAAGCGCCTTGTGTAATCAGGCCCTGATGCTGTCCAGGAACTTGAGTCTGGGCCTTCCAAACCAAGTCTAACATCCAAACCTTTTTAACCTCTGGAATTTCGAGAGAGGTGGTGAGCACCGCCTCAAACCAGCTGCCACAGGAGGTGGAGCCAGGGGTCATTTCGTAGAAAAAGAAGCGCAGGAGCTCATTAGCATAACTCATTAGCATAACTTATTTGCATATGCCATGCCCCCTGACATCACCGGAAGTGTGTCAGAAGGCAACACCCACCACTCAGGCTCCACTGGACTGTTTTGGATTGCTAGCTATTGGGGGGGGGGGGACGTGCAGATCTGCCCTCACAGAGGAGGAAGAGCTTGTACCTGAATAAAACTTGGTCTTAAATGTGCCACTGGACTGTTTTGGACCGGGGGGCCGGGGGAAGCTCTGCAACTTACCTGGCTGCTTCTTGCTCTGACTGAGGGCTGCTGGGAACAGGGGGTGGGGCTTGTTGCATGTGCCCGCCCCCTGGGCTCTTTACTGCCGGAGCTCCGCTCCTGCGCGCTCCTGCAGGAAATGACCCCTGGGTGGAGCCAGATGGAATACCTCCCTTTTCCCCGGGAAGAAGGAAAACCTGAATGGAGCCTCACATTGACTAAGAAAAGGCCAAGGGCTTACTTCTCCTCCAGTGGAGAACCCTTTTGTTTGAATGAGAGCAGCAGCAGCCAGTAACAAGCCCTGCCTTACAATGGCCCCACCCACTTTCTGAAAAGCTTGGTGGGTGCCAAGGGAAGTGCCGGCAGTCACTGTCATGCTGGGGAGCCCTGGACGAGGATCTGAGAGACCAGAGTTCGGATCTGCACTGTGCCATGGAAGCTCAGTGGGCCAGCCACTCTCTCAGCCTGACCTCCTTCACGGAATTGTTAGAAGATAAAATGGAGGAGGAGAGAACAGTGCAGTAGGCTACTTTGGGTTACCGTTGGGGAGAACGGTGGGGTATAAATATACAAACAAACAGATAGATAAATACTTCCCGTGAAGGGAAAGAACTGGAAGACCTCTGACATTTTAATAATATCCGTTTGCAAATGTACAGGTTGCCCAGATGGGGAGCAAGTAGGCATTCGGGTGGAGAGTGTTATGCACTCATTTTAAAATATTTATGGTCCGCACTGCCTGTCAAGAAATATTCAGGGGTGGTTCGCAACGCCATTACGAAAATACATTATGGAAGGTGGCTTTAGCCTGCCTTTTCCTGCTTGCCGGCATAAGGTGGCATACAAAAACTGAATCAATTATAAAAGAAATTAAAAATCAAAACACAGGCCGTAAGTACCTTGCAACTGTACCGTCTGTCCGCATCCTCCACATCAACCTAACCATTAGCTAAAAGCTCTCTTAAGCAGTTCTGCCGTACATTGTTTCCTGCATTTAATAGCTGCTGTTAATAACATTCCACATTTAAAATAATAAGTAGCCTCTTGAAATAAGCAGAAATAAGTAGCCTCTTGAAAAACCAGCACAAAAGATCCATTAATAGCTGTGGAGACTTACAATTTTATATTAAAACAGCAGCAGATAAAACCAGCATCTCAAAACATAAAATAAAACTGAGCCCTCCCACGGACATACTTTATTTTATATATTTTATTTTATTTGTTTGATTTATAACCCCCCCTCCCCATCAGGGCAGGCTCAGGGAGGCTTACAAAGTGTATATATGCATGTGTATGTATACATGTGTATATATACATATACATATACACAGGGGTCGTTTCCTGCAGGAGCGCACAGGAGCAGAGCTCCGGCAGTAAAGAGCCCAGGGGGCGGGCACATGCAACAAGCCCCACCCCCTGCTCCCAGCAGCCCTCAGTCAGAGCAAGAAGCACCCAGGTAAGTTGCAGAGCTCCCCCCGGCCCCAAGCCGTCCAGTGGCACCTTTAAGACAAAGTTTTATTCAGGTACAAGCTCTTCCTCCTCTGTGAGGACAGATCTGCATGTCCCCCCCCAAAAAAGCTAGCGATCTGAAACAGTCTGGTGGAGCCTGAGCGGTGGGTGTTGCCTTCTGACACACTTCCGGTGATGTCAGGGGGTGTGGCATGTGCAAATAAGTTATGCTAATGAGTTATGCTAATGAGCTCCTGCACCTCTTTTTCTATGAAATGACCCCTGCATATACATATATATAAACAGCAAGATATGTTAAAAGCAAAAATTAAATTAAATAAAACACACCCTCAACTAAACACCTGGAAAAATGAAAAAGTTTTTCATGTGGTGCCTAGACATTAACAAGCTTGATGACAGGGAAACTACTGGGAGAAATTATAGGGTTGGGGCCCCACCACAGAGAAGGCCCTGTCTATGGTCACTACCCACCTGGCCTCTGAAGGCAGGTGTACAGGAAGAAACCAAAGACTGTACATTTGATTCTCTGCGTGCTATTTATATTGTGTATATGACTGTTATTAATAGAATATGAAAGAGAAACCTGGTAGTAAAGGGCTGTGTCTGTTTCAGGCCAAGACCGGATCTGCCCAAGCAGAATGAGAGGGTAGAGTTCTGGGACAGGCTGTGCCATTTCAGACTGGAGGTGGAGTTGGGATCACATTTTTTAATGCTCTCTGTATGGAAAACTCCTAACAAATGGAAAATTAGCACCGTAGAAAAGCCTCACCCTTGATATGGTAGTTATTTTATCTGTAGGGAGTTTTTCTGGGGTTTTTTTAAACATGGGAAGGTACTTAAAATGGTACGTCCCGCCCTACAGCCTGAAGTAGAACAGTGTCATTCTCCCACCTCTAGCCTAAGTTTATTGTTTAGATCAGGGGTGTCAAACATAAGGCCCGGGGGCCAGAGCCCGCCCGCCTAGGGCTCTTATGCATCCCGCGAGCAACTGGTGCAAGGGAGGAACAGGAGACTGCTGGGGGATGAGTGGGTGGAGCCACTGTGATTGTGGCTTCAGCATAGCAGAAGAACCTCGTCTTCAGCAGTCAAGCAGTATGAAAGCATCTGCCCAGTGCTAACCACTGGCTCTCCAGTCCACCCATGTGGGTTTTCCTCTGCACCCCCCCACCCAGCCCATAAGGCCTTGCAGTGAGGATACACCAACTCGGAGCTTACCAGCTACTGTCTTTTACACAGTTTATATCTCTGGTACCCGACATTACGTTTTATGGCACACACGGCCTGAACCGACAAAGGGACATTTCGACATCTCTGGTTTAAATGTATTTTATGGTATATAACTGTTATTGTACTCCAAGGCCACATATTTTATTGTACTCCAAGGCCACACAGGAGAGGATGGGGTATAAAAATGTAATAAATAAATAAATAAATGGTTGCTGTAAAGCCTGGTGCTTGCATACGTGTGAACAATTCATAGATGAAAAGAGTGACATGCTTGGTAGCCCCCCCTTTCTCAGAGCAAGGATCACTGACTGAGCCTGATCCCCTCCACACACACATACACAGTCATGATTCTCTACTCCTACAAGTATATGATAGGTGTACTGGCTTGCAGGCTCTGAGTATCAGGGGCCAGAAGTCAGACAAGTCAGAGTTGGTTCAGTCCGAGTTCAGGGGTCCAGGAGTCAGGCAAAGCAGATTCGTTCAGTCCAAGATCAGAGGTCCAGAAGTCAGGCAAGGCAGAAGTGGTGGCTTAGTGTCTATCGTAAGTGTTGCATCCATGCCTAACAGCCTCTCTTGGCTGGTTTTATAGCCCCACACCTAAGCAATCCTGCAACTACTCATCTTTCTTATCAGCAAGCAGCTGGCGTAGAGCCAGGAGGTGTGTACTTTGCTGTCTTGTCTGTAGCTCTGTTCTTAGCCTCTGTCTGTGGTGCTCTAAGGGTGTAGGTGATACTGGTGGGCTGGGAATGGCCAGCTGAGATTCACCTGCTGAATCAGAGCTGGAGGGTGTAGGTGGCTCTGCACCAGCTGTTGGCCATGAATCCTGACAAGCCTGCAGCTCCTTTTCCTGCTGGTCAGCTTCTGGTAACTCAAGACTGGCTGCACGAGGCTCCTCTTCTCCTGAGGATTACCATCTCCAGGTAGGGCCTGGAGACCTCCTGGAGACCTCCTGGAGACCTCCTGGAATTACAAGTAATCTCCCGCCTACAGAGACCAGTTCCCTTCCCTCAGCACTATGAAGGAATTGTGGGTTCAGATCTCCAATTAAAAGGGTCAGTTAGCCGGTGATGTGAAAGATTTCTACTTGAGACCCTGGTGACCCACTGCCTGCCTGAGTGAGTAATAAGATCAGACCAAGGGGTCTGACTCACTATCAGGCAACTTCATGTATTCATGCAATGTGATGGCAGACAATGAGATACTGATGAATGTTATTGACAGCCATTTGTTATTCCAAGCCACTAGAAACTAGATCACACTCCCTCCCTGCCTGGATAGGAGTTAAAAGTTTAATAGCTGCCATTAATAACATAAAACAGGCATCCAGGCCCCGTATGAACTGACCACATACCCCCAAATAGCCCAGGCTAGCCCGATCTCATCAGATCTCAGAAGATAAGCAGGGTCAGCCCTGGCTTGTATTTGGATGGGAGACCTCCAAGGAATACCAGGGTCATGACACGAAGGTAGGCAGTGGCAAACCACCTCTGAAACATCTCTTGCCTTAAAAACAAGTCTAGCTTGACACCTAGTGGTGCCTAATGCTAAAAGAGGTAGAACTTCTGGCTGCCAGACAATCTTAGTATCTCCTGGATATTCTACACACAATGCCATACAATAATAATAATAATAACCCCCAAATCATATGAAGAACCTCTTGAGTCAGCAGGGGCTCCTTGGGGTAGAGGAGAGTGATGCCATTACTGGAACAGTCCCAAGGGATCCAACCCTTAATCTTTATCCTGGTTCACCGGATATGTCACCACCCTGACACTTCTACGGACCGGCTCATGGCTATTGCCAACCTGCAGAACGTGCAGCAGACACAGCCAGCTGGGCAGCCATTATTTCCCTCTGCTCTTGAGTGAGAAAGGTACAAAAATTGACATTTTCAGACGCATCAGTTCCTCTCCCCCATAACACGCCTGGCCCTACCTTTAACTGTGCCGTTTCCCCCTCCCCTCTCTCTGCAGGTGACCCAGATGAAAATGACCGCTTGCGTCAGCGGGTTCATGAGCCTCGATATCCCTGCCCCTACTGGCCCGCTCTGGATCCTGGGTGACGTTTTCCTCCGCCAGTACTACTCCATCTACGATCGGGACAACGACCGTGTCGGTTTGGCCCTTTCCAAAAGAACCCTCTGCGGCTCCTCTTCCAAAGCAGAAACCACCGCAGCTCCCACCGTGGCGAATACCACCACTGCCAGCGAGAGTACCACCTCTGCCAGCCCCCAAAATTCAGAGGCACAATGCTAGCTGTTGTTGTATTCTCTGGGGTCCAGGAAAGGGGGTTGTGGGAGGGGCAGGGCTGAATAGCAGCGCTGATGGAATCAGGCTTCCTGCCTGGAATCTGTAGTCACCAGAGAATACTAGTTTCTCTCTCTCTTTTTATAAGTTTCTGGCCCTTATGATTCTTGGGAAAAGGATTGCTAAGTTGCAACCTGGAGATGCTCCCTTGGCTGTGGAATGTGCAGCTGGGCCAGGAGATGAGGGAGCTTCCTCCTGCTAAGTTTCCTACCTGGTTTTTG